GGAACTAGATCCTGCATGCCACAACTGAACATTCCCTAGGTTGTGTCTGAATCTTTGAGACCTCATGGACTGTAGCCCAGTAGGCTCTTCTGCCCATGGAATTTTCCAGACAAGAATACTGGGAACAGGTTGCCATTTCTTCCTCCAGGGGATCCTCCCAACTCAGGGATCGAACCCGCTTCTCTTACATCTCCTGTGTTGGCAGGAGACGGCACCACCTGGGAGGCCCCAAAGATCCTTCATGTGGTAACTAAAGATTCCTGCAACTAGAAATCCCACATGCCACAATAGAGATCCCTTGTTCCTCAATTAAGTCTTGGCACAGCCATATCAATAAATATTTTTAAAAATTCAAACATATCTGATCTAACTCAAACATATTCATTATGGTATGTTGGGCAAGTCAACCTCCTGGAGACTTGGTTCACTCAATAGTAACACTGGGAAAATGAGACCTTTTTTGCAAGATTTTGGTTAAGATTAAATGAAATGGCAGATCTAAGTCACCTTAGCATAGTAAGTGATAAACAGTAAACATGCGAAAAAATTTTTATGAGTATTATTTCTATAAATTCATTATGTTTCTATCCTTTTTCTCTTATTACATCTTGAGCATAAAATAATCTTTGGGTCCATAATGACTGGTTTATTTTATGGTGAGGTACAACTTTTATTACCAATAAAAATTCCTTACTATGAACACACAATGACTTAGTTAACAATTTTATTATCAGACCTTTTCAGTGCTAATTTTTTTTACATAACAAGTAATGCTGTGATGAAAATCCTTGTACTTAAATCTTGGTGCTCTCATTCATGATTATTTCCATAGAGTAAATTTCTAAACAATGGAATTTGTATGGCTTTCTTTTTTTCCTTTTTCTTTTTCTGAGTTGCTCTCTGGAAAAGCTGTACTGATTTACTCTCACCAGCACTGGCTGACACAGCACCCAAGGTATTATTATTTGTTAAAATTTTACTGTTACTATAATAATTTAACTGGAGTGCATCAAGTATTGTTTACAGGCCTTATCTCATTTCCTCTTCACTACAACCCTCTGAAGGGTCCATTTGGTAGTCTGGTGTCTTTAGAAGATTGGGAAACCAAGGGGTCACAGATGTTAAGGTTTTTTTTCTTTAAACAAATTGAAGGTAATCCGTGTGACTCATTTTATTGCAGTGGCCTGGAACCAAACTTGCAGTATTTCTGAGGTATGCCTATAACGTCACTGGGCCAGGATAAGCCTATTTGGTCCTTAACACGCTAACTATGGGGCTTCCCTGGTGGCTCCGCTGGTGAAGAATCTACAATGTGGGAGACCTAGGCTCAACCCCCGCGTTGGGAAGATCCTCTGGAGAAGGGAATGGCTACCCTTCCATGGACTATATAGTTCATGAAGTCTCAAAGAGTTGACCACAACTGAGTGACTTTCACATGCTGACCATGGCTTCTCCCCTGTATCACACCGCCCCCTGCTGGTGCCCACTGAGAGGGCAAGAAGTCCTGAGACTCCTCAAACCAGGTTCCTTAGATGAGATTTGGGTATTTGTGGTCAGGAAGAGAGTGACGCTGGAACAACCACATAATAGTAGGACTTCGAAAAATGAGAAAGCTCATCAAGCTTTTCCCTTAATATTTATGCAATTTATGTGTTATACATTAACTAAAAAAAAAAGAAAACAAAAAATGAGAAGATTCTTGATATAAAAGGAAAGGCTTTTCAGGCAGGCAGGCAGGCAGGCAATAAATGGGTAAGTTGATAAAAGTAGCTCACACTTACTGAGTCCTCACTACAAGCCAGACCCCTCACCAAGGGCACTGGAAATACTAATTCATTTAATTTTTATACAACTCCCATGCGGTACCTCTGTTATTTGTGCTTGACAGATGAGGAAACAGAAGCACAGAGATGGTTAAGTAACTTGCTCAAGGTTACACGTCTAGCAAATTGGACAGCCAGGATTTGAGGCAGGTAATTTGGCTCCTGCTTAGAAGCAGGTAGGCTGGAGCTTCCCTGGTGGTCCGGTGGTTAAGAATCTGCTCTGCGATGCAGGGGATTTCAGTCTGACCCCTGGTCTGGGGAGATCCCACACGCTGTGGGGCTACTAAGCCCATGAGCTGAAACTACGGAAGCCCGCGTACCTAGAGCCTGAGTTCCGTTACAAGAGAGAAGCCACCGTAATAGGAAGCCTGTGTACTGCAACCAGAAAGCAGCCCCCACTTGTTGCAACTAGAGAAAGCCCGCGCAGCAGTGCAGACCCAACTCAGCCAAAAATAAATAAAGCAGGCAGGCTGGGGTCACAAAGCAGCCACAGTCACCAAAGATCTGACAGAATGAGAGGCCTCTTCCCCTATTCTGGAATGTTCACCATAAGGAGATTTTGTCAGACCAGGATACTGGACAGTTTAAGGTCCAAGTCCTCATTCAAGGATCCAGCATGTCATGTCACATCCTCCATGATGCTGCCACTTGCCCTCCTGAGTTCTCCTTTAGTGGCCCCAAAATAGATCTCTGCTGATTCTGGTCCAGTGGTGTTAGCAGAAAAATGTCTGAAGCTAGACTAGTTACTGGGCCTCCCAGAGAAGGGGCACATGCACCCACCAGAACTGGGATTTCTCTATTTAGTCCCGATGATGCACGATGAATTCCAAGCGCATCAGAGACACCTATAGGTAGCTCACATCCTATGTCCCCACTTGCTACCTACATCCACAGCCCACCTAGTCCTTTGCAAATGCCCCCTATTCACTAACTCTCCTGCCTGTGGAAGATGGTGATATACGCAATGAAGAAGGCTCTCCTAGGTCAACGTGGCAAGCCCAACACAGAAATGCAAAGAAGTAAGTAAGGCTCAGGAACTCAGCTTGTGTAACCTCAAGCTGGCAGTGGATTTGGAACTGGGGTTGGACAAGAAAAGATTTGGAAAAGGAGAGATGGACCTCTCCAGGCCTGTCTACAAGGATAGAAAAGGAGAAAATAACTCAGGGTATGTATCCTGTAAAGTCATAAGATTATGCAGTCAGCGGCTCTGTAGCTAGAAAATCATAACACAAATATTTAAGAAATGGGAGGCAGTTACAAGAATGTCCCTATTTGAGTAAATATAGTTTCCTGGTGGACACAGAATTAAATTTCAGTAAAAATAATACACTGGGGGTACAGTTTTCCAACATGCATCAAAAGCCTTACTCATGTTCCTACTCAATTCTATCCAACCTCATGTGGCAGGCCCTGGGCTAGGCTCTTGGATGCACACTAAACAAGAAGACAGAGTGCCAGCCCGCAGACGAGCTAACTGTGGAGAACGTATTTCAGGAAGGGTGAAGTATGGGGTGCTCAGGACACAGCATAAACGGGATTTAACCTAACCCAGAAAACCAAGAAGGGGTGAAATGTCTTTTAAGTGACACTTGAAGGACAGGAAGGATTTACTAACGCTGGAATGGACAAGTGAAATGAAAGTCGCTCAGTCATGTCTGAAACTCTTTGCAACCCCATGGACTATGCACAGTCCACATTATTCTCCAGGCCAGAATACTGGAGTGGGTAGTCTTTCCCTTCTCCAGGGGATTTTCCCAACCCAGGGATCAAACTCAGGTTTCCCGCATTGCAGGCAGATTCTTCGGTGAGCCACAGGGAAGCCCAGGTGAAGGCTCTGAGCAAACTGAGCAGTAGGTAAAAAGGAAATGATATAAGTTGTGTGTGTGTGTGTGCGCGCGCGCACACACACACACACACACACACACACACACACGCCCAAAATGAAGTTGGCAAATAGGCTACTTCCTCAGGCTTTAAAAGTCATTTTAAGGAGTCTGCATCATGTTCAAAAGTAAAAGAGAAGAGTGATGAGTGAAATTCTGATCAGTGTTCTACTGTATATTCTTTGACTCAATAATTCTACTTTAAGGAAATTCTCCTAAGGAAATAATTATGAATTCGTGCAATGATACATTTAAAAGGATATTTCTAATATTGAGATAGTCTAGAATTACAAAATTTTGAAATAAACTGAGTAACTTACGGTGGTGAAAGTGATAGTCTCAGTTGTGTCGGATTCTTTGTGACCCCAGGGACTGTAGCCTTCCAGGCTCCTCTGTCCATGGGATTTCTCAGGCATTGCAAGCAGATTCTTTACCATCTGAACCACCAGGTAAGCCCCCTTACAGTAATTGTTTAGATAAATGAGACTGTGGTTCATCTGTAAAATGTTATGTAACTGCTAAAGATACCATAGGAAAAAAAACCAATGACATGCAAAGATGTTCATTACGTGTTGGATGCAAATTGAAGGTTATATAAAATATACATAGTATAATCTCTATTTTGTATATACGCACACACATACATACACACACAGCGAAATAGGTATACAAGACATTAGAAAGCTATAAACCTAAATGTCAACTTCTCTTTTCATGTGGGATAATGTTAATATTAGCAGCTGATTTAAACTTTCACCTTTTATTTTTTTCTAATTGTTCTAAATGTGCTACTTTTGTGATTTTAAAAAATGATGTCTTGGAAAAAAATTTTAAAAGAAAAAAAACAAAAAAATTTAAACAGAAAATTTTAAGAAAGAAAAAAATTTTAAAGATTATATGTCTTACATGCTTAGAGATTTCTGGGGTGCAGACTATATTCTATTTCTTGACCCTTGCTGGGTTAACACTGGCCTTTTGCTTTACTTGTTAAAACGTAAACTTTAGAATAAAGTTTCCTCCCCGCACATTACATTTCACGATTTTTAAAATGCTTAATAAGATGCACGTATTTTTCAACCGTTTACACATAGCCCCGCGTCTCTAAGGTTCCGTAATTCCGGACTTGACAACCTCAAACCGTGGTTAGTGTATCCGTCTTGGCAACGTAGACTTCAAGTCCCAGCAGGCATTGCGGCCAGCACACTGGGATCTACGGGGTCCGAGAGGGAGGCTGGGGGCCTCAGGTCCTTTTCCTCCCAGAAGCCCGCGGGCGGCTCGGAACGCCGTCCGTATCATGGCCGCGGGAGCCGGGACGGCGGGCTCCGCTTCCGGCCCGGGCGTCGTGCGTGACCCAGGGGCGTCACAGTCGAGGAAGCGTCCCGGCAGGGAGGGCGGGGAGGGCGTGCGGCGATCAGACGCGATGGCGGGAGGAGGCGGGAGCAGCGACAGCAGCGGGCGGGCGGGAGGCAGGCGGGCGTCCCGTAGCGGCGGGCGGGCTCGGCGGGGGCGCCACGCGTCCGGGCTTGGGGGCGCCGCGGAGCGCGGCGCGGGGGAGGCGCGGCTGGAGGAGGCGGTCAACCGCTGGGTGCTCAAGTTCTACTTCCACGAGGCGCTGCGGGCCTTTCGGGGTAGCCGGTACGGGGACTTCAGGCAGATCCGGGACATCATGCAGGGTGAGGGCCGGCCCTGGGGAAGGAGGCTGGGGGCCCCTGGGAAGGGGCTCTGTGCACCCCCCGCCCCCACGTGTCGCGGCTGGGGGTCGCCGAGTCAATGATGTCTTTTTCCCAGCTTTGCTTGTCAGGCCCTTGGGGAAGGAGCATACCGTGTCTCGGCTGCTGCGGGTTATGCAGTGTCTGTCGCGCATTGAAGAAGGGGAAAATTTAGGTATGGCTATTTTTTTATGTTCTTCTCTTAGCTTACTTATTTATGGTTACATTGTTTTCAAACTTACATCCTGGACTGAAGGATTCAGGGTTAAGGTGGGCTATTATGTTTCAGTCACAGTGGTCTTTTTCCTTCTAGGACGAGTTTATTCTCTGGCTCTACTTTTCTCCACTTAGTATTCTCTTGGCTACTTTTCTGTGTTTATTTCCTCCCACCTGTTTCTTGCTCGCCCCAACTTTTTGCTATCTAAATCGAATTATGTGAAGATGGACATTTTTCCTCCATAGTAGAGTGTTTTTAAAGTATGAGCACCTTTTTTTTTCTTTGCCTAAATTGATCTTGACAGCTGTTTAGCAAAATGATCTATAGTTTCTGACTGTTTGTATCTGATTCTGACATTTAAGATGCATATGCGTGTGTTAAAAAAACAAGTTTTTACCTGTCCTGAAAATTACTGAAGGTCGCTTGAAATTCAAGGATTTGAATTTGGACCCTTAACATGTTTGTAAGCCTGTAGCCAGTATATCAACAAATTAAATACAAGTCTTAACTATATTTGCATGTTTTCTTATATATACACATAGAGAGAGACATAATTCTTCTGCTCTTTAGAAAATAGGTTTAAGTGAAAACTGTGCTTTTTGTCCTAGACTGTTCCTTTGATATGGAAGCTGAGCTCACACCACTGGAATCAGCTATCAATGTGCTGGAGATGATTAAAACGGAATTTACACTGACAGAGGCAGTGATCGAATCCAGTAGAAAACTGGTCAAGGAGGCTGTAAGGCTCTATTTTTAATTTCTTTTTTCTTTTAACAAAGATCAGAGTTCTTTGAGGAATCAGTGCTCTTTCCTGTGTGGGGTGGAGGACAGACAGAGATGGAGAGAGAGCAAGTGAGCACACTCAAAACACATTAACTCACACACATAGGTGTTACTTCATCAGGTGACCCTTCTTCCTAGCCCAGTCTTGGAAAGGACTGTTGAGGCACATGCTCAGCTTTTGTGATTTTTGATGGTCTTCCTTGTGGCCCTGACAGGAGGGGCCACAGTACACAGGAAGTGAGTTGGCATTGAAGAATGACATTTTGGAGGTTGTACCATTCAGAGCAGCATGTTGAAAGTGCTAAAAGTAACTGGCCTAGGATTTGGTCACCCTTGTTTATTATAGACCAAGGAGAAGAGCTGGTGCCTTGGAAAATGTGGGACCGCGTTGCACTCTTTCATGCAATTACTGAGAGGCTTAGGGAACATTCCCTTTGAGCAGACAGAATCAGAGATGCTGAGATAATCAGCCAGTTAGGAAAACAGTAATGGTAGGAGGCTGGTGCAGGGAACGTTCTTGACAAGAAAAAAGCTTGTAGAGTGTCTAGGAATTTGGGACTGGAACTATGTCATGGTTCAGGTAGCTTTTTTTTTTTTTTTTTACATTTAAAAACGGCAAGTTCAGGTAGCTTTAAGTAGTGGAACTTATCTATATTTAAAACATTGAAGTGGCCATGGAAACCAGTCAGAAAAAGCTTTTTCTTCTCCAATAACCAAGGCTGGGGGTGTGGAAGCAGATGCAGAGATGGGGACTGAACAACAATAGCTCAGCATTGTCTTGGTGGTGATAGTAAGGAAATTGGTAAGAAAAGATAAGAGCACCTCCTAAAAGGATGAGATCTCAAGAGCAGAGAGGTAGGAGATAAAACCTTGCTTAGCAAAGAAGACTTTTGGTCCCTTGACTGTGTGCTGGGTACTCAGACACCCTGTTGAAAAAACACCAAACCATACAGTTAAAAAAAACTGTGTGGGATGCCGATATTTTATTTATTCAGTTAAGGACCTTGGGGCAGGATCTACTTTTGGTCTTGCAAGGAATGCTGAGAAAATTCCCATTCCAAGGAGGAATGATTACAAGAATAGATTTTTAGTACCTGTGAGTCAGGTTTGTGTCGGAGATAAAATGCCAGAAAAGACATTAGCAAAGGAGGAGAAATCCATGCCTACTTGGAAAATAGCTTAAGGATCTTTTGAATGGGAAGAAATGGTGCCAGTTCAGGGTAATTCGTGTAACTACTCTTAAGTGGCCAGCTAATTCAGAAATGCAATTCTTCCAGAACCCAAGGGTTATAGTTCTGTCTTCTAGAAGATCCTGTGGGCTTTCATCTTCACCTGCATGTTTATTATTTAAAAGTTCATAGATCTCTTGTTTGGACACTTCATTAGGAAAAATTTGTTAGCAAAATCTAGATTTCCTTAAAACAGTCAACCATTTTCTTATGTTGACTCCCTTCTGCTTTTTCATTTTCCACCAGGTGCCAGATCTCTTGTTACTATATTACTGTTTACTGCTGTGTAACAAAGTAAGCCAAAACTTTAGCAGCTTAAAAAAATAAATACTATCTCTCCGTTTCCAAGGGTCAGGAATCTGGTAGTGATTTAGCTGTGTTTCTAACTGGAGGTCTCGCGTGAGATCATAGTCAGGCTGCCTGCTACCGCTGCAGTTATCGGAGTTTTCCTGGGCTGATGAGCCTGCTTCTGTGCTGACTCCACTGGCTGGTTATTAGCAGGACTCACCTTCTTGCTGGCTGTTGGCTCGAAGACTTCAGGTCCTTGTCTCTCCTTAGGACTACTTAAGAGCACAGTAGCTTGCTGCCCCTAGAGCAGTAGTGATCAAAGAGAAGAGAAAGCTGTAGTCTTTTATAAACTAATCTCAGAAGTGACTTACCACTTCTGCCATATGCTCTTGTTCACATAGACCTGACCAGCTGGATTAGTGTATGGAATGGGACTATGCAGGAGGTGGGGATCACTGGGAACCATCTTAGAGGCTGGCTACCATAGTAATATCCAAGTTATTAATTGATATTGTATCACTTGTCTCTTTGATTTATTTATTTTTTATATTTCTTATTTAGTCATAGAATCTGTTAATGGTCATCTTTAGGAAAATATCTTGGAATGCCTAGGCTCAGTGAGGCTTTTTGTTGCGTTTTTAAGCTTTGTAAAGTGTCACAGCAATTTACCTTAAAGTTTATTAAATTTATTTTTTAAAGTTTATCAAATAAGTTATTTGTTAAGTTTGAACTTCTCCATGAGTGGTCCGGGGATTTTTGCAGGTCTTTGGGACCCTTTCAGGGTTCCAAACTATCTTCATAATAATGCCAAAATGTTAATTGAGGTTTTCAGTGCACTGACATTACTGACATTTACAGTGATGATGCAAAAGCAGTGATGGGTAAAATTTCTGGTGTCATAGCATGACCAAAGCAATAATAAAATGTATTAGTAGTCATTGTATTCTTCATTGGCACATGCGTACAGTTTAAAAAAAAAGCCAGTTTCAGTTAATGTCTTTGATGAAGCAGTAAAAATTATTTTTATTAAGCCTAATTAATTTTATTAATACACCTAAGAATGTCTCATGAAGCAGTAAAAATTACAATTTTATTAAGCCTTGAACAAAATGTTTTTTCACTATTTCATCTGACAAAATAGGAAATTTTCCTGTAGCATTTCTATTGCATACCAAAACATGATGGTTTTCTTTAGGAAAAGTACTTGTGTGATTGGGCTACATGCTGACCTAGCTGCTTTTGTAATGGAACACCATTTTTATTTGAAATAATTGACAAATTTTGGTTTTTTGGATGTGGTAATCTGGTAGTCATTTTCTTGAGAAAGCAGAGTGAACTTGTCATGTCAGTGAAAACAGTTGGTAGCATGTGTTGCCAGAGATAAAATTCAAGCTTTTCAGGTGAAAATTGGAATTTTGGAAAACCTACATTCATGTGCTGGGTATCTTTCCAATACTTAATTCTGATATGATTGATAGTAATATTAATAACTGTAATTTTGAAAAGATTTGTAATGAATGTATCAAACACGTGGAAGATCATAGCTCAGTAAACCAATATTTTCCAAATGATCAATGAATTGTATTGCAGAATCATTCAAGGGTAACAGATCCATTAAAAGTGCAAGCTAGACTATGACATTTTAATATAATAATGATAATGATAATATAATAATGATAAAAAGTTCACTTGCCAAAGTTTGGTGTAGAGTCAAAGAAGAGTATCCACATTTTCTAAAAGAGCTCTTAAAATAATCCTCCCTTTTTCAACTTTGTGTGAGGCTGGAATTTTTTAATATCCTTCAACCAAAACAACATATCACAACAGAATGAATATAGAAGCAGAATACCATCTTTCTTCTATTAAGCCAGATATTAAGGAGATTTGCAAAAATGTAAAACAATGCCACCCTTCTCATTAAACTTTTGTCTTAGAAAATAAGTAGTTGTCATAAAGATATGTTATTTATATTAACCTGTAATAAGTTTATTGTTATTTTTCAGTGAATAAATATCTTGAATTTTTATGTTTTATATTTCTAATAACAGTAAATATCAGTGGATATAACCCATGTAAACAAAAGTTCTTTGGGGTCCTCATTAACATTGAATAGTATAAAGAATCCTGAGACCAGAAGTTTGAGAACTGCTTCTGTAAGCTGATAATGATATTGAGACTATGTTGGTTTTCTTTTTATAACTAAAAGAGAGAGGCCTTAGGTTTTTGTGAACACGGGAGAATAACATATATGGCATGTCCTTGGGGAAGCATTTATGTGTTGCTTTTGCTGTGCACCTTTGGTAATAGCACCCTGATTTTCTTTGGGGGGGGAACTTACCCCATTTGAGGGACTGGTGCATCTCACACTGTCTTACAATTTAAATTTCTTGAAACAGAAAGCTTTGCCAAGGGTTTTTGAGCATTTGTGCTTCCTTAACATCCAGGTTTCTTTCCAAGTTTGCTTCTTTAGCCTTTCTTCACTTCTGTGAGTTTGGCTTTCTCTTCTTAGGTCCTTTCTGGCATTTCCTCCAACATAAACCCATCTCGGCTATATTGAAAATCTGTGCTTGGAATTTTGCTTTAGTTTAAGTTAGCCAGAGACCATTGCTGTTGCTTACATGATAAGAACCTTAACAGATACATAGGAGCAGAAATTATCCTTATCTCTGAAAACTTCCAAGTTTTCAAAAAGCAAAGTTTCATCTCCTAAAAAAAGAAAAAACAACAACAAACAAAAACTTACCGGGAATCAAATTAATGCATAGCTTTTTTAAAAGCTCATAGTACAAACTTTAGAGGCAGGCTTTCAGTTTAGATTTTGAAAGCATTCACATTTCCTTTCTTGTTTCACAAATTAAACATAGTTGGGCCTGTATTCTAGTTCTAGGAAAGATAGACAAGCATACTCTTCTATCTTTCTTAATGCAAGTATAAATCTTGGACAGAATGTATGGAGCAGCTGTCTGAGAACACAGAAATGTAAAGGGCAGTAAGCAGATGGAGAAGACCAGACTATGAAGGTCTCCCAAACTGCTGATGGTAGATGACCATTTTTCCCCTTTCTAGTATCACCAAGCCTGGACTTGAAGGATTCTGAAACTGGAAGTACACTCCAGGTGTGAACAGAAATAACGCCAAGAGAGGCTCTCTGGTCTGAAGGGTGGGAAAGGGGATTGGCTAAGGGTCAGAGAGGGTGGAAGAAATCTCAGGGGGCTTTTTTCTTCCTTTTTCCCTCCTTCTCTATCCTAGCACCCAGGCAGTATTACACTGGTGGCAGCAGTGACATAGTAATGATTACAGTGACAGGAGAGCAGGCACCTAAAACCAAAGGAAGAGAACCTTTTTTCTTTAGCAGTGGAGCTGTGATTCCCAGAACTTGAAATGGATTCCACTTTTTTTTTGTCTATTCTGATGCTTAGTCCTGGATGCAGATATAGTT